GGCACTCTAATTTTTCAAATGTGTCAGACATTTTCCGCACTCAAGTGGTTTCAAGTGAACAGAATTGTCATTGCTGAAGCATAATTGGAGAAATTACACAAAATAATGCCCGAAAGCAACGTTGAAACCAGCACTTTGCAAGTTGCTGACTTTAAAGCCATCAGAGGGGAACTCTAATGGCATATTCATCTTTTTGGGACAAATTTAACATAAAATAAGCCACAAATCAATGGCTAGTTTTCCGAAGATATGGCCGCTCCTAACGAAAAAAATAGGTGTTTCTTGTGCAAATTGCACTGAACGCAGTCTTCTGTATGGCTTATCTGTGATTGATATACTTTTTACTTGCTTGCAGAGAATCTACATATTTTTTTCTGTAGGAGACACAAAGGCTAATTTTAACGATGCCAAACAATAGAATCCAGTTAAGCTTCAAGGTATCAAAACAGAGTTTTGAATGGCGAATGCGACACTCTTTTAATAGGTCTTATTGAAGAAACTTCGTTTTTAAGATGGGGTGGTAAAGTTAACAATTTTTTAGTAATCCACGCAAATAATAAGATACAAATTTACAGAGCGCGCCACATGGCATTCATTTTTAACAATTCATAACTTTTTCGTGCGAACCCATATCAACCTGATTTTAAAATAAAATCAATATCCGTTCATATTTACGTAAGAAATGTATTCTTGTTTGCAGTCGCTAACAGTAACCGTTTTCGAGATTTTTCRAAAAACTTTTTTAATTGCAAATAAATCACATCAAAGCCACCAACTTGAATTAAACAATTTTAGATTTTTGAACAATTTTGTTATCCGCAACATTARGTTTTCGATTGGAGTGGCATCAATCCTGCMTTTGACGAAGTCCAACATGAAAAAATCTAAGAGCKTGAGATYGGGTGAACGTGCAGGCCACTCAACCCRGATCTTCCTGGATACTTCTATCCGGATACTTTTTACYCAGGCTCTTGCGTTTCTTCCAAAATGAGCCAGGCAGCCAAAGCAGAAGTGAGCCAAAGGCCGTTCTCTAAAATGTTGCTAAGTCTCCAAAAAGTATAACAAATTGGCAGCATTGAATCGATCAAGCAAAAAATAGGGCCCCAACAAATAATGATTAAAAAGTCCCACCCAAACGATCATCCTAAATTCCCGAAACATGACAGTATTTAAACACCCCGTACTGTAGTGTTCATTACATTTTCAGTACTTAGTTCAAAGTATTCAGCCAAAAATTAAGGATTATTTCAAATTATTTTACGTTACGGATTATTTTGATGCGCAGTGTATTATTTTTGCTATATCATTTTGAATCGATTACAAATTTCAAGTCAAAGAATCATTCGCAAATGAAATGTTCAAAAATAAAGCAGAGTTTTTATCAACGGATGCTTGAAGAGAATTGACTCTTAACTGAGGAAAAGTTGCGACCCCCTGGATTAGAGTGACGAATTTATCCAGGGTGATTCAAAATTGGCATCATTCACTTGGAAGGTACAGAAAAATTATTGAATTTTTTTTTTCGATAATTTCTAGAGAATTTTAACAGTTGAAAATCGAATTTTAACTTTATAATTAAACATTAATTTGAAATTGCACCATGTTTAATTGGTAGCATATTGGAATACTTAAGCATTCAAAAAGAAAAATTACGATCTTTGCTTGAAATTACGAAAATTTTTTATATTAAAAAAGTTCTCTTCTACAATTTTTGATGGAAAGTCAAAGCGGCAATGATATTTTTTGGTGGATAGCCCTTGTCAATAATAACAATAATTTGTCAAACTGTGACTTACTTTGAAGTTCCATTCACGAATTTGCTGATATGCGATTAGTTCAGGGGAAATGGTACAGTAACATGGCAGAAGCTGAAAGAACTCACGCCAACAAAGGTCGAGGAGAGTGGTTCCAGGAAGATAGTGGACGACAATAGATGTTCGAGTTCCAGACACAGAGGAACAAGCATTCGACAAAATTGCAGAAGAGCCTTTCAGGGGCACTCAGAACATTGCACAACAACTGACACAT